TGAAAACTTTTGGGACCAACCACACCAGCGCCTGGCACAGCCGCCACCTCCAGCAAACCATGAGGTAAAGTTGTGGGGGACGGGAGGGTGACTCACCATGAGCACACTACACTCCCAAGATAGCCCACCCAGACCAAAGGAAGACCGAAGACTTACCCCAAAGCACCGCAAGCGGACCCCTCACCACCAGTGGAGATGAAATACCGCCACCTTCCATACCACCCACAGAGGGACAGACACGGCATCATGGAGCCACCGACTCTGCGGAGAGAGGATGCAGGCTAGCCACAAAGCCTGGGACTGGATGGAGACCTTTGCTATGCCCATACCGCATCATTGCCCTGAAGGGCCCCGGGGTGCCTGCCATCATGCTGCCCCTACTCACACAGCAACGCAAGACCTCGACCCAGCTCTGCTCTTCTTTTGTAAGGAAGGACTTGGACTTTGCAAGGTCCCAAGTCAGTGGTTCTGAGAAACAGACCTCAACACGGGCCTGGGGCTTTGGGGCTTTGAGGCTTCCTCACCTCAACCCCCACTCAAGCGACTCGACCACAGCTCCTCAGTACCTCCCGAATATGGGAATCAGCTGAGCCGGGACTCACTCCATCAAACAGTGCTGGCCTCACAAGCCTCCTGGACACCAGCATTGTAATTCCACTGCAGCATACATATCACCTACGATTGCAAACACTTATTATTAAGCTATGTTATATGTTAACCACGTTGTTTCATCTATACCTATCTCATTCTTGACAGATATACATTTTACTCAGTTCTTTAATATGAAGCCTCCATCTGATGCCCACGAGTGGGGACCTGTGCCAGTTCACTCTTGTATGTTATTAATATTATTATGTATATTACTGCTAGTCTTTTATTATAAAGACTGTCCACTGGCTCACTCTTTAGTAGACATGCTCCCACTCATGGCATATAAAGTGGGGGCATGGGGAGGTTTAAAACCTCCCTTGTACTAAAACTAGACAAAGACCTCATTGCAGGTCGAAACGTTGCTGTTTGTTTTTATTTTTCAATAAAAATGCTACTTTACCAAGTATTGCCAGCCTGGTTTGCACCAAAGATCATCAATATATGTGTCCAGAATTCCTCCTCCTTAGGAACAATATTGTACTAATGTGTGCAAAAAAACCACAGAAAACAAAAAATTTTCAGCATCTATGTTATATGTTCAAGGCCTCAAAAAATGGCACTGGTTCTGATAATTCATTTTAAAGTATATTATACATTTTTGGTCTCCATCAAGTTTTTTGCTTAAAGGGACATGCATCACTCAAAATCTTTAGCTTTGCATGAGACATGACAATTGCATAGTCACCATATAGGCAGGGGAAGGATATTAGAGCCTAAACCCAAACCCAACCAATAAAACATTGATACTCTTATGTATGGGTCAAAATGTTCACAGCTTTAATAATAATTATAAAGTTAATAACTTATCATATACAAAATATACTAAGGTCATTGTCTGCCCCAACCCCCAATATTATAACATCTCCCACATGTTAAATCGAAGGCAATGATCCATAACATAAACATTTCTTTACAATTTATAACAACCACATAAATATAAACATGTAAAGTGCCAACATTTCCTTTGTTTACTCCTAGTAGGGGTATACCCAGATACCCCTACACCACCGAGGTTTGGAGCCACCGACGGGCTTGAAACCTACCAAAACTTGTACGAACAGTGTACCATTTGAACCAGCCAAATAACTGCCCTTACTCCTATATTAACTAAGAAGGCCCATTTTCCCCTTTACCTTCCTTACCCCACCACGCCACTGTGACCAAACAGGGAAATAACACCTCGCTAAATAGGGAGGGAGGGGCCTATTCTGCCAGGTAAGAGTTAAATGCTGGCTTGCTATTGAGGCTTGGCAGTACTTGGCATATTTCCACCCAGAATCCTTTGCGGTAGTAACATCGCTGCACATTTGTGATTTCTGTGGGAAAAGCAAGTCTTATGGCTTGACTGGTGTACAGATTTTTGTTTAGCATTGTGTTGACTATCCACAGAAGTCAAATAGAAGGGGTTTTCAATCAAAAATTTTCCCCACCATAACTTTTTTGGCTTTTGCTTTGCAAGTACTGCCAAGCCTCAGTAGCAAGCCAGTAACCAACCTCATGCTGATGATTTGCATTAACAATGAAACAGCTATCCATTAGTGGTTCACTGGCAATGCATCTTTTTCTAAGTTGTGTTTCAAAGCTGTTGTATACAGCAAACAAAGACTCAAAGGAATCCATGTTTAAAATGGAAAGAGGCAAAAATGTGATTCTTTGTTGAACTAATTTGCATATGCCTACCCAGAATCCTTTGCGGTAGTAACATCACTGCACATTTGTGATTTCTGTGGGAAAAGCAAGTCTTATGGCTTGACTGGTGTGCAGATTTTTGTTTAACATAGTATTGACTATCCACAGACTTCATGTGGAAGGGGTTTTCAATCACAATTTATATATATATATATATATATATATATATATATATATATATAGCAATTAAATGTTGATAATACTTTAAACTTGTTTGCCCACTTCAGCTACTGCTCCTGTTTTATTAGAATTGTCTATCTTGCTTTACCAATAGAGCTGTGGAATTTGTTGGTGCTATATAAACAAGTGTACCTAAAGTGAATTGCCTATCCATCCTCTCCTCTTTAGGTATCAACCATGATTTAGATGGTGGAAGATCATGGACAGCTGGTGACCTTCTCGTGTATTGTTTGGAAGATCTGGGAAAGTATGATTTCAAACGATTTAAGGATAAATTGTCAGATTTTGTATATAGGGAAATAACTTCAATCCCACGTGGAATTCTTGAAAAGGCAGACTTCATATCCACAAAGAATCGCCTTATGGATACTTATGGAGAGGAGGCTCTAGATGTAACAATCAAAGTGCTTCAGTTAATTGGTCTTATGGGACCTGCACAAAAACTCCAAGAGGGTATAGAAAACCTGTGTGAGTATGAATATGTAAAATATTACACAACGCTCAATATTTAATCATTAGTAATATAGACTGGCATCCTAAGTACTTCAATGTTTCTAGTTCTTTAAGGACCATGCAAAACACCTAAAGTTAGTTAGCTTGCTGAAGTGCTTTATATGTGTAGAGTGTGTCTTTTTTTTATTTTACAAAAAGTTCAGGCTTCAATAGAAAATTATGCTTTTATAAATTAAGTTGCTAAAATCCTCTGACTGTCAATCAGACAAACAACCCTCTAACTTCCTGGTAGTTAAGCTCAGTGGAACTAAACTCAAGAGACAGACAATTGCCCAGAGCCTTACAAAGAATTATCAGTGAACTGCATTGGAAAGCCTGTGATTGGACAGCCAAAAACAATCTGGGCTAGGGAAGAAGGGGAGGGCTTGAAATTGCTTCAGACAAGAAATCTGCAGCTTTTACAAGCTGGTATTAAATATACCACCAATGGAAAATGTCCAATGAAATACCTGCATGTTTTCATTGGGGGTATATCTTCTTAACAGTGATTTTTCTTTAATATGTATGCATTTGAGCAGTGGAGATTCCCTTTAAGTAACACTGTAAATGACTTGACTACTACACAGCATGAATTACACTAACTATGTTGTGTAAAATGTAGAAAATGAAAAGAGCAATATCTCTCACAGAAACTGTGAAATAAATGGGGGGGAAATGAAAATAACTTTACCTTAACAATCAAAAGTATTTAGAGTATTGCTTGAAAAAAACAAAAAACATCATGCAGTGTTTACAGCAACTATATATAATAATAAAGTAGTGCCTTTGCATTGTACACTTACAATGTTCTGTGTCACTTAACTTGGCTCAAACTGGAAAAGCTTGCTATGTATTTAAATTGTCAAAATAACACTCATGTCTGATAGAGCCTCCAAACTGGCTCTAGGTATAGGAGTAGCACTCCTTAAGAACAAAGAATACCAGCACATAAGGCACTACTCACAATCCAGACATCAATGGGTTAAGGCTGGGTCTTTTGTAATCATTGATACAAAGTACATTGACCTCTGTTTAAAAAACATGGAGACACACATGGACTGTCAGCAACAGCGTAATATTGTATTTAACCTGTGCACAGCCAGAGACCCTGGCTAATGCTCCACTTAACAGATGATCTAACTTAAAAGAACAATATAGGCCCCTCTTGCCTCCCTAAATATAGTAACATCTTACTTATGTTCAAGTCTGTAGCTGCTGCCTCTGACCCTGATCTGCCTGCTGTCTGCTAACATCACCAGACAGCAGCCAATCACAATGCTTCCATTTTAGGATTGGTTAAGACAGTCAAGTAGGCAGTTCAGGGGCAGAGCCAGCACAAAACAAAGACATGCCTGGCCAATCAGCATCTCCTCATAGAGATGCATTCAATCAATGCATCTCTATGAAGAAAGTTCAGTGTCTGCATGCAGGCTGTAATGTAAACTCTGCATTTTTCTAAAAAGACAGTGTTAAATGCAAAAAGCCTGAAGGCTCTACTCACCAGAATAAATACTCACCAGAATGCTGTAGTTGTTCTGGTGACTATAGTCTCCCTTTAAGAATGGGGATACCTTCAAGATATAAGATGACAAAACAAGACTGGAGTTAAAATCTACAGGATCTTTAACCCCTTAAGGACACATGACATGTGTGACATGTAATGATTCCCTTTTATTCCAGAAGTTTGGTCCTTAAGGGGTTAAGGAGGATTACCTCCAAGCCACTAGTAATCGCTTCCTAATTATAAGACCTTAATCCCATAGTAATTACTCTGTTGCAACGGATCCTATGTAACTATAGCATCAGAAAAGAAAATATGTTATAAAAATTGACAGATCTCAACTTTAGTACGATAATGTGACAAAATCCTGGAATAATTGATAAACTCAACAGAAGAAGCTGAGCAAAATTGAAAGTAAAGCTGTAAAAAAAAAAAAAGAATAATCTTTAATTTCCTACTCTGGTAACTTCTGTTATTATTTTTATAGGCTTGACAAGGACTGGGTTTACAACAAAACGCCTGGAAGGTATGTAAATTATGTTTTTATGTCATAAATTTACAGACATTAAAACTGAATGAACTGCAGTAAACATTTACTTGCCTTGGATTTCTATAATGTCTTTGATGCTGGACTGTTAATATTGTATATTTACTGACTGAAGTTTAAAATGTCTATATTCCCTGGGCATATTGCAGCATTACCAGCTCATCATCTGAAGGGGCAGTGGCGTACATACCAGGGTCGCAGGGGTCGCGGCTGCGACTGGGCCCGGCCCACCAGGGGGCCCGGCCGCCCCTGCGACCTGGTATGTACCCACAGGGCCAGCCTCTTCTCCTGGGGGGCCCAGGATGCGGCCACCTCAGGGCCCCCCGAGGCTGGCCCTGCTGACCCCGGAGGGCTGTCTGTCTGGCCGGCGCGTGAAGGAGCACTCTGCTCTGAGTGCTTCCTCTTCAGCTCCCTCACGCACCGCACTGATACCGGAGCCCGAAGATGACGTCATCTTCCGGCGCCGGCATCCCTATGCGGCGCGCGAGGGAGCTGAAGAGGAAGCACTCAGAGCAGAGTGCTCCCTCACGCGCCGGCCACCCAGACAGACAGCAAGCCAGCTGCCGAGGTCAGCAGCACCACTGGACCCCAGGGAATCCCCTCAGCATTCCAAAAGGTAAGGAGGTTGGGGGATTAAATTAAAAAAAAAAAAATGTGTGTGTGTTTGTGTGTCTGTTAGTGTGTGTTAGTGTGTGTGTGTTAGTGTGTCTGTTAGTATGTGTTAGTGTGTGTGTGTTAGCGTGTCTGTTAGTATGTGTGTGTGTGTTAGTGTGTGTGTGTTAGTGTGTGTGTGTGTGTTAGTGTGTGTGTTAGTGTGTGTGTGTGTGTGTGTTATTGGGTGTGTGTCTGCTAGTGAGTGTGTTACTGTGTGTGTCTGTTACTGAGTGTGTTTGATGTCTGTTAGTGAGTGTGTGATTGTCAGTGAAAGTGTATGTTTTGTGAGTGTGAATGTATGTCTGTCGCTGAGTGTGTCTCTGTCAGTAAATGTGTGTGTCTGTTAGCTAGTGTGTATGCGTCTGTTGGTGAGTGTGTGTGTGTGTGTGTCTTCAGCATTTACCTTTCTCCAGTGTCGGACTCCCTTGGCGCTGGGGATCCCTCTGCCTCTCAGCTCCGAATGCGCAAGAGGCGCGCGCGCATTTAAACCGCCCATAGGAAAGCATTACTCAATGCTTTCCTATGGACGTTCAGTGTCTTCTCACTGTGATTTTCACAGTGAGAATCGCGGAAGCTCCTCTAGCAGCTGTCAATGAGACAGCCACCAGAGGCTGGATTAACCCTCAGTGAAACATAGCCGTTTCTCTGAAACTGCTATGTTTTCAGCTGCAAGGTTAAAACTAGAGGGACCTGGCACCCAAACCACTTCATTGAGCTGATGTGATCTGGGTGTCTGTAGTGGTCCTTTAAGTGTGTGTGCATACCACGGTCGCAGGGTCGCAGCCCTGCAACCCCTGCGACCAGGTGCCTGCCGTCATGTGTTGCGGCCCGACCCGCGCAGAGTAAGCGCGGGGGGGAGGGGGGCCCACGGATCAATTTTCGCACCGGGGCCCCATGGGTCATGTGTACGCCACTGTGAAGGGGTAAGCAACCTTTGGTAATAAAGAGGTTGTGGACTACATCTCCCATGATGCTCTTACAGCCACATGCCACATCAGGGGAGATGAAGTCCACAACCTCTTTATTACCAAAGGTTGCTTACCCCTTCAGACATACTTGAAAACGAGAGAAATCTCAAATGTATCTTTCCTGGTAAAATATTTTATAAATAATAAATAATGTAATTCCAAAGGTTGCCTACTCCCGATCTACTGCTTTCTGTGGACAGCTCACAACTAAATTAATAATAAAATACATTGCAAATAGCAAAGTTGTAAAAAAATGCTGTAGCTTATTTATTTTTGTAATTATGCATATAAGAAGCATAGGTAAAATCATGTTTCCTCTCTTTTACAGTGTTTAGAGTAAGATACATGAATTGTGTGAGGCGTAAATTCCAGCATATTCAAGACACTAATGCCCGCCTTGGTGATGCTGTTGCTTTTAAAAAAAGATTCACAAGACTGCTAATGATACAGGAGCATCGCACTGAAGAGGAAAGAGAGCATGAACTAACATTTACTGGAAGGATGCACTTGCGGATAATGGCTAATCGTTCGTCAGATGAATATTCACCAACATCTATTCTATCTCTGTTTGATCCTGATGATGATGAACTAATTCCAGAAATCGTGGTGATACAGGGGCCAGCTGGCATTGGAAAAACTATGACAGCCCAAAAGATCATGCTTGATTGGGCCTGTGGGAACCTGTATCAGAACATGTTCAATTTTGTGTTTTACATGAGTTGTAGGGAAATAAACAACATTAATAATCAAATAAGCATTGCTGGTTTGATATACAAATTATGCCAGCTAAAGTGTCCACCAAATCTGATGAAAGCAGTTTTTGAAGATTCAGATAAAATACTTATTATTGTTGATGGTTTTGATGAATTAAGATGTAAGCTTAGGAATGACATGGAGATGTGTGATGATCCATTTCAAGAGACCTCCAAAGAAATCCTCATCAAAAGTCTGTTTGAAAAGCAGATTCTCGAGGATGCCTCACTTATAATCACAACAAGGCCATTTGCGTTAGACAGACTGAGAGAATATGTAAGTTTTCCCCGTTATGTGGAACTTCTTGGGTTTACAGAGCGTGACCGTGAGGACTACTTCCACAAGTTCTTCCAAAATAAAGAACTAGCAGAAGCAGCTCTAAACATTATTAAAGAAAATGGAACCCTATTTACAATGTGTGTTGTCCCTATAACATGCTGGATTATATGTACTGTAATGAAACAGCAATTAGAAAGGGGTATATATGCAGTCTATGCCAAAACATCCACCTCTGTTTATATGCTCTATGTAAAACATTTATTAAAAGTTCATGGGAGAAATTCTAACTTTAGTTTAATAACATGGGTAAGGAAGCTCTGTGCGCTCGCAAATAATGGAATTTGGGAACAGAAAATCCTGTTTGATGAAGAAGACATTATGGAACAAGGACTTGTAATATCAGACATAGAATCTCTCTTTCTAAATGAAAATATCTTTCAAAGGGACATTGACACTTGCACCTGTTACAGCTTTGTTCATCTAAGTGTACAGGAGTTCTTTGCTGCCTTACATTATGTAATTAAGGAGGACACAGAAAGCAAAGACAGTTCAGAAAATCATCAAATCCATGAGGCATCTGTGGAAACTGAGAACAACCATGATTTGGATGAATTAAAATTACAGAGGAATTTCCAAAACCTCTTGAAGCAGTCCAAACAACATCAACACTTACTCTTAACAGTCCGTTTTCTATACGGACTCTCCAGTGAAACTGAAACACATACACTTCAACAAATGTTTGGGTTTAGCATGTCAAGTGAAATGAGATCTATATTGGAAGAGTGGCTTCAGAAAGAGTTCCCTTTTAATGATCATGAAAACTTGCACTGTTTATACGAGACACAAGATGAATACTTTGTCAACAGGGTTATGTCTCGATATATACAGCTTGAAATTGGTTCAGATTTTAATATGCAAGCTCTTTCATATAGTTTGATGAATAGTTCAAAAAATCACCACATTTGTTTTTTTGAAATTTTCTTTGGTCCAAAGTCCCAGCAAACTTTGACTAACCTGCTTCACAAGTGCTTTGAACTTCAGTAAGTATTGATGTTTATGGCTATAGAATGCTAATTGGTTTACAGAAAATATTTTACCACCTTCTTTATCGTTTTGATACCTTAACTGGCACCATTCTGTCTGTTTTAGTATTTGTTTTTTTTTCAATGTTTTAGTAAAGCCTGAGGTTTATGGTCAGTGGTAATATTTATTTGCTGTCTTATTCGTGTCATGCCACAGCAGAACAGGTATGTCTCCCTTCAAATATATGTCACAGGTGTTATCTGGTTTAGTAAACAAAAGAGAACAAAACAAAAAGAATCCTTGCACTAAAAAGTTCAATAAACTAAAATGCATTTTTTTAAAACTTAAATAGGTAGGTTACCTATTTAAATTTAAAAAAATGCATTTTAGTTTATTGGACTTTTATTCCCTATCTGAAAATAAAGCATTGAACACACATACATAAATAATAAATACCTGCACTCAAATAAAATAGTACACCAAAAAGATAAATCAACATAATAAATACACCAAACCAATTAAAATAGCAGTAAACTTGTGATTATGTCCAAAAAGTGAAAATTGCTCTCTATTATGTCCTGTAAAGGATTACATTTTTTTTGTGCAAAATTTCTATTTCCATTTTAAAAATTTTTTTTTTTTTTAAAAGATACGTTTTACCACACAGGAAACGTGCAACATGTCTTAATACTATCACACCCACTTGAGTGCCCTGCAGGCTGACTTAAGCCAAGATGGAACTAGAAGACTCACATGTGTGAAACCCGTAAAACAAAAGATATGTCTACATTAATATAGTAGAAGATATGGCAAAATACTTGTAGCAGCTCTCTAACTTCATGATTCCATTTGCACATGGATTAACAGGTATAGTCTCTGAAGAGATAGAGATACTGTTTGGTTAATGTCTTCCAGCTAACAGACACCTTTGTCCCTACCATGGGACTTAATTTAAACGCAGGAGTCCATTGACAAAGTGCCACTATAAGAGCAAAATGCATCTGGTTGTTGGGAGGTGTTAATCAAGTGGCATATCTCCACAGAGGCTACCTGAAATATTGCACATTTATTTATGTAGGGTATTATCCAACAAGAAATATCTATTTAAAAAAGATGTATTCTGTGACATGAACATATCAATGAATTGGCAAAAGGTGGCCTAATCTGAATCAATTAAATAGTGTCCATGACAAGATTTGTGTTAATTACTCTTGGAATTGTCTGTCTTTGTTGATTTTTTTTTTCAGGGAACCTAGTTATAAAGTTATAAAGAGCTAGGCCTGATAGGCAGTAGCTGATCACAGTACTGGTAGAGGTGTGGATAACTGCCTGGGAAAGGAGCTGAAGAGGCAAAGACATAGGGGATAATGTCTTCCTGGAAGGAGAGAGCTGCAGCCTGGTCTAGAGTGGAAGACGTTGAAATTTGTCAGATTGGTTACGTTCCCTTTTAGACCGTATGGTAGCCCAGGAATGAGAATTACCCCCATGATGGCATACCATTTGCAAATGGGGTATGTCTAGTCTTCTTTAGTAGCCACTTAGTCACAAACACTGGCCAAAATTGGCGTTCAAATACATTTTTTGCATTTTTCACACACAATAAAATATTAACGCTAACTTTGGCCAGTGTTTGTGACTAAATGGCTACTAATAATGACTGGACATACCCCATCTGCAATACCTTGGGTTGTCTACTATTGCAAATGGTATACCATCATGGGGGTAATTCTCATTCTTGGGCTACCATACGGTCTCAAAGGCAACGTAACCAATCTGGCAAATTTTAATGTGAAAAAACTGAAAAATGTAACATGCTATACTTGACCCTGTAACCTCCCAAAAACACTATAAAACCTGTACATAGGGGTACTGTTTTACACGTGAGACATTACTGAATACAAATGTGTGTATTTTTTTGTAGTAAAAGCAAACAGTATTATGACATTCACCGTTACAATGGCATGCAGAACTAAAAAAAAAACACAATTTCTTAATTTCTCATTTTTTTTATATTTTATACATATTAAATTATGATTCATAGCTAAATATTTGATGTTAAATGAAAGCCCTATTTCTCCTGAATAGAATGATATATAATTAGTGTGGGTGCACTTAATATAAAAGAGGTGAATTACGGTTGAACAGACATATAGTCAAATTACAAGTTTTGTTTACGTTTCATTTTGATTAAAACATGTACATTTGGCTCAGTCCTTAAGGGGTTAAAAACAACCTCAGATGAACAACAACACATGACATATTACACTGTGTCATGTTTTAACAAAAATAAATCCAAAATTGAGAAGCCATGTGTGAAAACAAAGTACACCCTTACTGTCTCTATAGGAATTAGGAGGCTAAGTATCTGAAAGGTGCTGATAATGAAACTGATCATCAGCAAGTATGACCACCTCTATAAAAGCTGAAGTTTTAGAAATATACTAGTCTGGAGCATTTATGTGTGTTAACACAATGCCATCCACAATGATCTTAGAGAAACAATTGCTGCTGCCCATCAAACTGGAAAGGGTTATAGGGCCATTTTCAAACAATTTAAAGTCTATTATTTACACTGAGTAAGATGATCCAAAAATGGAAATATTCAAGACAGTTGTCAACTTTCCCAGGAGTGGATGTTCCAATAAATTCACCACAAGTCCAGACTGCAGTGCTCAGAGAAATTGCTTTGCTGTTCATCTGGGGTTGTATTTACTTACTTTTAAGACCTGCTAATGAACAGTTGATTATTTTTATGTCCTGATATGTAAAACCATAGAATTCAAAGAGGGTGTACTTGCTATTTCGCATGACCGCCTGTATCAATGGATTTTTTTCTCACAATCTTTTATCACTGGTGCCAATTCTTTAAATTCAAATGAAATAGAATGTTTAATAATTGTACAGTGATTAAATTACCTTCTTTTAAAATCACAATAGTCATTTAGTATTATGTATTATGTACTGGATATTTAAGTGCCCATTTTACAGCTCAGTTTTTAACAAAATTGTTGCTACATTGTTTTTAAGATTTTTTTATTGCAAATTCCCTGTTGTGGATTTTGAAGACATGGAAGCAATGGATTACAGTGATGAAGAGTTTATGGAAGATACAGAAAGTATTGATAATGCAGCAGAAGAAGATGTGTCCACTCCTGAAAAATACAGTCTAAAATGGTTATGGAATGCATACAGCAGGATAAAGGATTTGGGGTAAGATATTATATGTGATTCCTAATTTTAGAGAACATTATACTTATTGAAACTCCTCTACTGTACTTGATTCCCCTTTTGCCATACTATCTCATTGACCTGCAGAGTCTGCAGAAGCTAGCATATGAAAAAGCAGCCTGCAAAAGTGGTAAACATGCTGTCATGCTAGACTTTCACTCTGTGTCTGGGAGTTGACCAGTCAGAGCCACAAGCATGCACACACGCTCGCTGCTTTCCATTGCTTCTCAATGAGCTGTAGTACAGCTCACTGAAAAGGGGATAAGGCCAGGAACAGGATGCCTGCAACTCCCTTTAGCTCTGTGCAACTAACAAAAGCAGAAGAAAACCTCACCAGCTGTCTGATTTTGTCTACACCAGTGTCAACACTTTTATAAACTTGGAAAAAAACAGTATACTCCAGACACTTGAAGCACTTTAACAAGTGGAAGTCTGGAGTGTTCCTTTGAATGGATATTTTTCATTTGGAAAGAGCATGAAATTTCATCTATACATTGTGCTAGCAAGAAGTAAAGATTGGGAGAAAACATGTTTTCAAGGAATGATTCATAGGAAGAGCTCCATAGGACGTCCTTCTGCTCTTCGCCCATAGCAACTTCAGCACTGGAGATGTAGTTGCCATAGTAACTTCCTAGCCAAAACTGCATGTGATGGCTAGGGAGTATAGCAACAAATTTATGTCACTCCTGTCAGACACTGGCATGCTGGTAATGAAACCAGATTCTTGGCGTCATGGAGATGGTTTACCCTGCCTTTGGAAGCATCCACAAGTGCTGTTCATCCCCAAGATTGTATGCTGCTCGAAGGTTTGAAGGGCATTGGATTTTCATGTTTGTATGTGAGTCTGAGTGTATTTATATAATTTTTTGTGCTTGTATACAGGTGATACTCGAAAAATTAGAATATTGTGCAAAAGTTCATTTATCTCAGTAATGCAACATAAAAGGGGAAACTAATATATGAGATAGACGCATTACATGTAAAGCAAGATAGTTCAAGATAGACAAATCTTTCCAGAAGCTTAGAGGAAAAAGGGAGCAGGGATATGGGACAATAGTTAGAAGGGAAGAACAGGTCAAGAGATGATATTTTTTCAGGATGGGTACTAAAGTGGCATGTTTAAGGACAGCAGGGGCAATGCCAGAAGAGAGAGAGCAGTTGAAAATGTATGTTAATGAAGGCCACCTCTTGTTCAGTAGCCAGAGAGAATGTATGAAGGGTAGGAAAAGCATGATTTACGTGTGTTTGAGAAAGAGGGGGGCAATGTGATGAGAATTATATGTTTAATTGTTGAATCTTGTTGGTAAAATAAAATAGCATACAAAGCTATCGGCTGTAAGATTAGTTTGAGGAGTGGCCACAGCAGGATGAAGAAGAGAGTTAAATGTATCAAAGAGATTCCTGGGATTGCGGGAGTATGAATAATGAGAGAGGAAAAGTATAAATGTTTGACGAGGGCAAGGGCTGTGCTGTGTGAATGCAATATGAATCTATAATGGAGAAAGTCTGATTGGGTGCAAGACTTCCTCCAGTCCTCTTTGAGGTGCATGTTTGGAGTTGGGCTGCAGCGTTCAGGGCAAAGGTGAGGGTAGTGTTATATGTAGAGATGGCCAGGGAGGGACAGGAGAGGGTAGGGATGGATAGGAGTTGGGAATCAATATCAGCTGACAGCTGCAGGAGGTCAATAGAATTAAGGTTCCTTCTGAGTTGAGGGGAGTTAGGCTGTTGGTTGTTGGGTGAGGGGGTTCCTGAGAGCAAATGATAAGAAATGGTGATCAGAGAGAGGAAG